TAAACATGCCACTGTAAGTGCTACAATGGAATGAACACAGGGTGACATGAACCCAAACAGAAGAGGCCGCTTCTGGTGTCACATGATATGCTACAAGCTATACCCATCTTCCCTTCTTAGCATTCTGAGTATTTTACAAACATTGAGAATTCACTAAAGCCTGCTAGTTCCCTCCCAATCAGTTTAGGCCTAATTTTTCCCTCTTCTGCCTCAATTATTTGCTTTTCCCTTGAGTGCTTCCTTCATTTTGAAGGTAAGGAGGAAAACCACCCACACACAAAAAAAACAAATGTAGTAAAACATCCTATTGGGAGATAGCTAAATTTAGTAGATATGTTTTCTTATTTTGGCAAAATTGTTCCATTCCATATCATTTACTACTTAATAGACAAGTATCCTGAAAGAGAAAGTTGTCCTCTAAGAAATCGCTACAGCACAGGGACCATGCACACCCTGGGAACTCAAAAACTGCTTCCACCACCTCGATCTTCACTTGGATAGGACTTACTTGCTGCTGCTATGTTCTCCAGGTCCCTCATGAATCACATCTCTTTCAGAATATAAACTGGCCAAACCAATTTTTTCATGAATATTCCTGCTGCTGTTTCCTTCCCATCATCTCTAGGACCATCCTCTTCCCCACTCATTCTCAAATCTGTTTAATTTTAGCTCCACAATAAGCAAACACATATCTTAAAAGTGGAACCCATTAGACTTGAAGCTCCTCAAGGGCAGGGCTATGTCTTATTCATTTTGCATCCAGCACCCATGGGTGGAAGCTCAACACTGTAGTACTGAACAGAACTGAAACTTATGAGAATCTCAAAGGAGTTTTGTTTTGTTTTGTTACCATTATGAATTTGTCAAATATCTGAGCACTTAAAATAGGCCAGGCACTGTAGGATACTAAAAGCACTATATCTTTAAGCATAATCATAATAAACTGTGAAAAGCTGAAGTGGAGGGAGTAGCTAAAAGCAAGGGACATGCTTCCATTAGATGGAGAAAAATTAGGGAAACATAGAAAGGTAAGCTGGGGGAATGGCAGTAGAAAAACAAGAGCCAAGAGAAGGAGATTAGAATGAAAAATACAGGTAGGAAATCAGGCTGAGTATACTGTGGACTCCAAATGTGGCAGGGAAGGGGCCAAAGTATGTATGAGTTACCGGCCATAACCACTGAGAAACTTGGGACGTTTCTTCATAACAAATAGTCTGATGTCTAAAAACTTTTTACTTTTTTTTTTTTTTTTTTTTTTTTTACTTTTTGATCTCAGGACTTGGAGACCCTTTAAAAAATTAATTATTTTATGGTTTAATTTTCAGAGTCTAGCATCAACTAAATGATTTTTCCTGAGTAACGCTATTACGCGTATTACTATGCATTAACATGATAAAAACAAGGATATTACATACTCTGTCTCATTAGGGAATAACTGTGTACAATAAAGAATCCATAAGGTACTGTACCACCATTCAATATTCCAAATATAACTCTAAAATCTGTCTCCTGGGTGAGAGAGTGCAATATTTCAGGAGAAAAAAGTGGGGGAGGGTGTAGCTGTTGACTTAGCCATCCAGTAATTATTTTGTCTTTCCATAAATAAAGGTATAGAGAAGCCAGCCTAATCTGATGATTAGGAAAGGGATTTTGTTGTTGGTAGCTTAACGCCAATAATAAAAGATTATTTTATATTATTAAAGATTACTAACTAAAATGCATAGACAGATACTAGCTTCTCTTTGGACAAAAGAGTGTTCACAGTTACGTGGTTGTCACCTTTCTGATGGACCATTTAACTGGACTAGTCCAAAAGTCATTAAGTTTAGACCGCATATAACTTACTGTTCTCTCCCTCATACCAGGATGGCCAAGGATATGATTATCCAAAAGTCTAGAAATGGTTCATTCAACACATATTTATGGAGTACCTACTACGTGTCAGGCACTGTCCTGGGTGATCCAGCTACATTAATGAATAAAATACACATACTCTCCGTCCTTGTGTAGCTTACATTCCAGGGAGTGGACAGGCAATAAATAATAAATAAGTCAATTATATAGAATATTAGAAGATGACAGGTGATATGGGAACGATAAAGCAGGGAAGGGTGATAAGGTGTACCCAGACTTGGGAAGGGAAAATTTTTAGTAGGGTGTTCAGAGTAGGCCTCTCTGAGAAGATACTCAGAAAAAATACTTCAAGGAGGTGAGGGATTAGCCATGCAGATACCTGACAGAAGAGTGTTCCAGGCAGAGTGCAAAGGCCCTGAGGAAGGAACTTGCCTGGATTGTTTAAGAAATATCAGAAGGCCAGTGGGACTGCAGTAGAATAAGGGAGGGCCAGGGTAGCAGGAGACTACATAGGGCGTTATAAGCCAAGTCAAGGATTTTGGCCTTAACTCTGAGATGGGAAAATCATTGGAAGGTTTGACCAAAGGAATGATATAATTTAACTTACATTTTTTTATTTCTTTTTTTTTTTTTTTTTGGTGAGGAAGATTGGCTCTGAGCTAACATCCGTGCCCATCTTCCTCTATTTTGTATGTGGGAAACCGCCACAGCATGGCTTGATGAGCGGTGCATAGGTCCGCGCCTGGGATCCGAACCTGCAAACCCCGGGCTGCCAAAGCAGAGTGTGCGAACCTAACCACTACGCCACCGGGCTGGCCCCTAGTTTGAATTTTTAATAATAAAATTTGCTTCCTCTCTTTCTA